TACAAACACTTGAAGATATGCTGAGAGCATATACCCTGGAATTCCTAAGTAATTGGGATGAACATTTACCTTTGGTAGAATTTTCCTACAATAATAGTTTCCACTCGAGCATAAACATGACACCTTATCAAGCTTTGTACGGACAGAAATGTCGTACGCCGTCTTGTTGGCTTGAGGCTGGTTAAAAACAGTTTATGGGACCGGAGATAGTCCATCAGACTGTTGAAAAGTTGAAAATAATTAGGGAGAGAATGTTAGCAGCTCAGGATCGTCAAAAGAGCTATGCTGACAAGAAAAGACGACCGATGACTTTTGAGGTTGGAGATTCGGTTTTACTTAAAGTCTCGCCGTGGAAGGGACTTATAAGATTTGGTAAAAGGGGAAAACTGAGTCCAAGGTTTATTGGACCGTTTAAAGTTCTTCAGAGGATTGGGAACCAAGCTTACAAGCTGGAATTACCCCGAAGAACTGAATGGAATTCATAACACTTTCCATGTGTGTTATTTGAGGAAGTTCACGGGAGAAGTTCCCGATATGATTCCACTTTCGGAGTTGAGAATTGATGAGAACAAGAGGTTAATTGAAGAACCAGAGGCAATCGTTGACCGAAAGACTAAGAAGTTACGATGCAAGATGGTCGAATTAGTGCTTGTCCGATGGAAACATACGAATGGGCCAAATCTCACCTGGGAGGCGGAGAGTGACATGATGAGTCGCTATCCGCATTTGTTTGTTGATATGTGATTCCCGAGACGGAATCATCCTAAGGTGGAGAGAATTGTAACGCCCGCGTTTTTGGGCTAGGCATTAATATTGATGTAATAGTCTAGGTTAACCTTTGTAACCCATTTTGAAATAATAGAAGTGTATTATTTGAGTATTGTGTGTTTTTGTGCTTAATTGTGTGTCTTAATTTAATTAAGAATAAAAATAAGCGTTAAAATGAAATTTTAGATAAACCCAATATCTATGAAGGATGTGGTAGTGGCCGTGACGAGGTTTCCGAATATATAAAGAATGCCGAAATCCGAGTTATAACGAAGAAGTTATGATCTGTCGAAGTTTCGCGACAGAACTGACACGACGCTGAATGACGTAAAATACGAATTTAAGATAGAGCGATATCTAGCCTTTGTAATCTAAACGAAAGTCGTAGAGTTCGTTAAACCGAGAGCGTGCATAAAAAGAACGTCTAAATCTGACTTCGTATGAGGAAGTTATGATTTTTCGAAGTTTCGACTTAGCGGTATGCAGCCCGAATACTCGAAATAGAGATCGAGTGATAAAAAACTTTCTAAATGAGAATTGAAGATCTCATCGATAGTAGTCCAACGGTAAAAAGACAGACGAAAACGGACTTCAGATGAAGGAGTTATGAATTTATAACGGAGTTTTCCTGTCCCGACCTACTAAAAATAATATAATAATAATATAATAAAAATAAAGTCAAATTTAGCCAACGGAGTCTAAACGAGAGTTGTAGAGCATAATCTCACCTACGCGTCGATATAAAGAACGTCGAAAACAGAGCTCGTATGCGAAAGTTATGAATTTCTGAAGTTCGGGGTGCGAACCCCGATACTGTGTCAGAGTTCACGACGTGAACTCAGTGATTTGACCTTGCAGAGCCTGTCAGACGCAACCTGTGATGACGCATGCAGTGACGACTAAGTTCACGACGTGAGAACTTAAAATTCACGACGTGAGAGCTGAAAAATGACCCTATAAATAGAAATCGAGGGTCGGCCGATTTAGGTTGCTCTATATCTTCTCTCTCACTCCCGATACTCTCTCTAAGCCCTATTTTAACCCCCCGAAGCCCCGGTATCATCCCGAGACCCGAAGCAAGTCCCGCAGACCGAAGATCCCGATAAGAAAAGAGTTTCCGAGCCGAAGCTCTGCTTGCGAGAAGCCCGGTGTGTGAAGACCTTCTAGTTTCACCAAAGAGCTTCTACTTTTAGAGCCGTAGTGCTGTCCGATCATCTTCTGATCAAGTGAGTGCATAGTCTCTTTCATAAACACGATTTAATACAAGTATTGTTGAATGTATTAAGTATACGTTCTATGTGAGTGTATATTCCCTTTCTTCTACAACATAGATATGAAGTATCTACTTTAGAATACGTGTTATGTGTGTATAAATATACGTGTATATATATGTTATCTGTTTATTTGGGATGAGTATTGAATAAGTATCTTATCAGTTTTTAAGTTGCATATGAATGCATATGTATGTTGTTATCTACAAAAATGTTGGGTAGAACTTGGGTAGATAGTTGATGTGTGATAAACTGATGAGAGGCCTTGATGTGATTGTGATCTAGTCATTCAGCAGAATATGGATGACGACCACAGACTCTTTCTAGACTGTCCTGTGGAATGTTGGCAGGCTCATAACCTGTAGGTGTTGGTGAACTTGGGTGTTTATTTGCTGTATTCTATCCCCCTCATGGTTGCCTTAGGACATTCATTGCTGAGGAAACCCCTTTGCAGTATTGTCCGTCCCGATGAAAATCCTAGATTAGGTCCCTTGTGATAGTTGTTGTTTTAGGGACGTAAAGTGAGGATAACGGGAATGGGTAATCGGGTAATTGTTGGTTGGTGAAATTAAATATAATTATTTATTGTGGGTTGAAAACGCTATATGCTCACCAGGCTCCCAAGCCTGACCCACTCAGTTTCTTTGTATTACAGGTAGTGGCGCGAGAGCATAAGTTGGAGAACTTGTGAAGATGTTTTTGTTTATAGACCAGTAGTTATATATAACTGTGTAAGGTCTATGTTTTATTGTTTATGCTTTTGTGTCTGTAACGGAACATGACATCCCGAGTTTTGATATATAATGAAAATACATTTCTTTAAGAAATGCTTTGATAAACCTTATTTTATCATGTAATGTTTTTGGGGACTAATTCCGCAACTCTTTTAAATCAATGGATTTACTCTGCAATTATTTTAAAAGCATAAATGAAACCGGTCTTTTATGGCCGTGATTTTGGGGATGTCACAATATATATATATATATATATATATATATATATATATATATATATATATATATATATATATATATATATATATATATAAACAACACTAAACCACACGTTTGATTTCGAAACCCAATAAATTTGTATCAAACCAGTTTTTTCCTATACCGGTCTGTTTGGGGTTTTTTGCAAGTCTAATTTTAAGCTTATTTTTGTATGCTACAAATATAGGAACTTTGTAGGATGTCTTATTTCATTCAACACGGGGAAAATGGCTACCCATCGTGTTAGTGACAAATTTATTGATATCGGGGACTTAAAACCCCTGTCAAATTACATTATATACTATAATCCTTATATACTAAAAAAATAGATGAAAATTTACGTTTGTCTAGCCTTTTGCAAATTTGAAATTAACGCCACAACCTTCATATAGACCCGATCTTTGAAGTTATCATAACATTGAAAAAAAACATGTCTTCCACGACGGTTCACAAGTAAAACCCCACATGCTATCCAAAATCCAGTAGCAAAACCAGTCCCCCCACCAATATAGAACCATCCCCAAACTTCATCTACGCCTTCTGTATCACCCTCACTTTCTCCAACGACGGGTGGTACTTTTAAATCTTCATCCCCGGGACATTTTTTGGTAAGAGGAGGTCCACATAGTCATGCATTTCCATTGTATCTTAAAGGTGGAAAAGACTGGAGTTGAGTGCTAGATAGGATTCTCCCCGACAAGTTATTAAATGACACGTCTAGGTAATTCAGTAAACTCATTTGAGACATGCTTGATGGCATCCGTCCCGAAACATTGTTTCTAGATAAATCCAACGTCAAAAGATTTTTCATCTCACCAATTGTGCGTGGAATCTCTCCAAATAGAGCGTTCATTGACAAGTTCAGGGCAATTAAGCCATACATATTGGTAATTTCATATGGTATTTGTCCTGTTAAATTGTTGCTTGACAAGTCAATGCTCTTCAAAAAATTTAGAATGCTAAAGAATTCACGTTCATCTCCATGCCACTGAATCATTGTATGGTCAACATATGTGTCCTGTATATGTGTATCCGTACTTCTTACAATTGTATTAAATTGTACATCTTGTAAGGATCCTTGTTGAGCCATGCTTGTAAGATTACTCAAACATGAGGGGATGGTTCCAAGGAGATTGTTCACTGACAAGTCCAAAATTTGAAGATTTACTAATTGACATAATTGTAAAGGGATGGTTCCAAAGAAGTTGTTTGATCTTAGAATAAGAACATACAACCCTGATAAGTTTTCCCCAATCCAGACAGGCACATTATCAGAAAACTTGTTGGCCCCCAAATTCAATGACTTTAAACTCGTGCAATTTTTTAAAGACAAAGGCAATTCTCCAGAGAAGTTGTTCTTGTATAAATACAATACACTGAGATTGATCAGATATTCAATAGAGGGAGGAAGCCTTCCAAAAAGATTATTTTGTCCAAGATTAAGAACTTTTAGCTGTTTGAAATGCCACAAACAGTCTGGGAGTTGTCCGCTTAATGAGTTATGAGAGAGGTCAAGAAATGTCAAGAACCCATCAACAATTTGGCATATAAAGGAGATCCCTCTAGAGAAGTTATTTCTAGAAAGATCTAATGATGCTAAAGCGGAAGAGACTTTCGATATTTGGCCATAAAAGTTGTTGTAACTCAAATCTATCACTGAACCACTAGCAAAATTTAATGATAAATCTGGTATTTTCCCGCTTATGTTGTTGGAAGAGATATTCAAATATTCTAATTGAGAAGGCCACATGTCCCAAAACTCGTGAGGAATTGTGTCTGAAATACTATTAATGGAAACAACAAGACGTGTAAGATTTTTGAGTGTCTGAATCCATTTAGGGAAGTGAGGCCCTATGTTGCAAGACCTCAGATCAAAATACTCTACATAATAGAGGCTTGACAAGTGATATGTGGAAGGAACTCTAATTTTATTAAAAGAAAAGTCGAGCCTTTTAAGCATGTGTAGTTCTCATAGTTTCTCATTTATACTTCCAATTAAGTGATTATGAGATAAGTCCAAGTATTCAAGGGATGAAAACTTTTGGATCTCATCGGACAATGACCCTGTAAGTTGGCTTCCTGGAGCATACAACTCTCGTAATGTAAGCGATGTGCATCCTGACAAGTTGTTGAGAAAATGAGGAAATTTGACAACAACAGTGTTGTTATTGAAGTACAAATTTTCCAGACCACAAAGGTTACCAAGATATTTAGGGATCCCATCTAACATGTTGCTAGAGAGATAAAGATGAAGAAGGTTATTGCTGGTTAATAGGAGCAACCAACGATACATGGATGAGTTAAGATTGTTATCACTTAGATCAAGGGAATGAATAGATGAAGAAGAGTTGAGAAATGAAGAATATGGATACATGACTTGTGAGAGCTCGCATCCCTTTAAACTTAAAAGTGATAGTTTCCCGAGACTCAGAATTACATCTACCCAATGATTTTGTTTGGCTAAGGAAATCCCATCCATTTGAAGTTCCTCCAAATGAGAAAGATGGGACAACCACTCTAGATTTTCAACTCTATAGCTTCCAACATATCCAAGGTAGAGCCATTGCAAGTTGGTGAGGTTTCCAAACTCTGGAGGAATGGTTCCATGAAAGGAGTTATAGGAAAGGTTAAGGTACCTTAACCGAGTCATGGAACCAATGAAACTAGGAATGATTCCATGAAAAGAATTTCTAGAAAGGTCAAGATGATTCAAATAGGTTAAGTTAAGCAATGAATTGCTTATCTCACCTCCGAGACTAGAGCCGGAAATATCAAGCCCTATGACATGACATGTTTGGTTGTTGCACGTGACTCCTTTCCAATTACAACAATCATGTTCGTCAGATCTCCATGTAGAGAGAGTATCATTGGGGTCATGAAGGGAAGCTTTGAAAAGAAGGAGATCAAGCCTCTCCTTATGCAAACACTTGTTCGTAACAGCATTTCTATAATCGCCTCCCAATTGGCTAGCAGTTGCAGTCACAAGGAGCAAGAGAAGTGAGAAAAGTAAAAAAAAAAGACAAGGATTCATTTTGTAAAATGAAATCTTAGGGAGATTTAATTTTGGTTTGTATATGAAATAAGAAGTGCCCCCATGAGTGTTTATAATAGTGTGAGTGGCCTCCTACTTGTGTGGGCCACACAATACTTAATTTCCATGAAATTATAACCTAACTAAAAGACTCGTTCAAAAGTCTTGCAAGTATTGTCAATTTGTATTTATTATATATATATCTTTTCAAATCTTGTAATATTTTTAAAGACTTTAAAAGCGATGTTACATAAAATTATGGTTAATTGTAGAACTATTATCAATCACACGGTACAAAACCTTCACCGAATCCAAACAAATAAGAGCAATCGTTGAATTCACCCCCAATTTAAAACCAATTATTTAATGAATGTCGTGATCCACCTCCATTATTTAAACAATTTATGTTTATGCCCAGATAGCAAGAATACTTCATCCTATCCTCCAAAGTATTTCATACCTAAACAGATTTATAAAAATCAATTAGAAAAGCGGATACATATATAATTTATGATATCAATTGAAAAAAATCTAAACAGAAACATAAACCCACTATTCAACAGAAAAGAAAAAAAAAATCAAAATCAAAATCAAAAGGAACGTCATTCGACTAGAAAATAGAGATGAAGAGGAAAAGTGTGCTAAGGCAACATATTCAGTATTCACTTTAATTGACCTCTCAAGTATGAGGCTACAATATCTATCAATCGTGAGTATTGATGTCATTGATTTCTATAAATAGATACAATATTCTTTCATCTAAAGAAAGAAACACCAAAAGTTATGTGCATAGTATATTTCTAATTCAGCCTTATATATTCATAGACTTTTAGAACAATAATAAATACAACTAGTTTTCATTGAATTCAAATAGGGTCATTAATGTTTTTTATCCATTAAATCAAAATCATATATCAAAGTTTCAAAATTTTATTTGAATGTTGGCTATTCACTTTGATTGACCTCGAGTTACATGCCTATTGCTATTTGCCAATCCACAAAATGAAAACATGTTACATGTTTTGACTCCTAAACATAATCTAGATTCAACAAACAGTTAAAAAATATTGTTTTCTAGATATCGTTGTTACCAATACTTATGATGAGTATGACCCTTTTCTTAGAGAAATGTGTAAGTATGATGTGAAAGGCACAATTTATAGATACAATGATGTTTAGTAGTAATTAAATTGTTAGAAACTTTTTCATTGTTAGTCATAGAATGCGGATATAATTGCTTTACGTTTCAAACAATGGCGATACGTATGCAACGTAAAAGTGATGATATGCTTAAAAACACGTATAAAGATAGCCCTTATTACGCAAATCAAATTCTTTAACTCATTTAGCTTTCATGCCAAGTCCCTAACACCTCACGTGTTAGACAACATGATCATTGTGTGTTGGTTTTATAAAAACCATGTTCGATCCTCAACTTACACGTTACATTTGCATCCTATAAAAAACCTTTGCTTCCATATCATTATCATAGATACCAAACTAGATTCTTATTATAGTTTTCTAAATCAAACCACAATCGATTCATCTATGGCAACCATCAATGTTCAAGCCCTAGCTGAACTCGGTCAATCTATCTTAGACGAGGTTTGTTTTATCTACAATGCACAAACTATATTTCCTTTTCTAGTTTCATAAAAATTAAGAAACATATAAAACATCAGTCTCATGCGCCTATTCATATTCAACTTTATCTTTTGTTATTTTTCTTGAATATGGTTATGAAGTCACAAATACTAAATTACTAACTCTTTGAATTTGTAGGGGATTGTTGATCCTTTTGTATTTAATGGTATGGTAAAAACGGAAGACCATTTGGGAATAAGATATCTTGATGTAATGCTAGCAGAGTATTGTAAGAAAGCTAATAAGATCTTAACTTTGGCAAAGACACAACTGTAAGTACAACACACCAATCGCTTGATTTGACTTTCTTCATTTAAATTAAATTATTCTTTGGATAAAATACGAGTTCATGTTATTTGTAAACTTATAGAGAATCCCAGGCACCTCAATACACATTCATTGACAACATGCTTGAGAAGTTGGAAGCAGCTAGCCCAAGGTAACAAAAAGCACATTCTTTCTATTAGGGTTTTTTTTAATACTTTTAGCATAAATCATTATCCTATCATAATATTTTACACCACCCATAAATGCAAATTCTAAGCAGAGTTGCAGCAAAGAAAGTAAACATGTCTATTACACCTGTAAGACTATGTTTAACCGGTGACCCTGAAGACCTAAATGTGTATGTTTTTTTTTTTTGTACTCCACTCCTTTTTTATTTTTAAATATTCAAGTACCGTAGAGCATCCACAATAGAAGCTTTTTCACCCCAAAAAGCTCATGAAAATTAAAAAAAAAAAAGCTATTGGAAGAGCTTTTTCATGGAGCTTGTTAATTCATTGAGGTTTCATTTGTATTATATGTTGAAGTTTAAATAATTGATCTATATATATTTTTTAATATTAGAGAAAAGATATTGATTAAAATTTTGTGGGGTTTGTAGCTGAAGAAGTAAGTGTATCTCTTTGATAGGAGTCCACCACAAAGGTCACAACCAGCAAGGCGAAGTTAAAGGCAAAAAGCAGATGAAAAAGTTATATTCTATTCCATCTACTTTAATTTGTTGTGTTTAAATAAACTAATAAAGCTTGTTTCTTTTATCTTTCCAACATTAGCATAATCAAAGTACTTTACTCGCTGTAGGGCCTTCTTGGTTTGATCTAAGATTATACCAACACATACTAGATTATATTTTGATTACTTATATCAGGAAATATAAGAAACAACACTTCAGATTCAAACAACTCTCTCTTGAGAAGGGGCTAATGAATTATATAATAAAATCATATGAGTATAAGAAAATTTAAGAAAATTTATGTGATTTGAGAAGCTAGGAGTAGGGCATGCGATGCCAGATTACCCAAGCGCATATAAAGCTTGCAGCTCTTGAATCCAAAGTCCCAACTAGTGGATCGGAATAACTAGCTTCTTATCCAAGAGGCTAAAGCTCCATCACAGGCCTTCCGTATTCATATCAAACTAAAGATCCACAGGTGACCACCATTTGCTCCACCGCTCCTACAATTTGAGCCCAAATTCACTGCTTCCGTATGTTTGTGTGTAAGAATTGAGCCATAAGATGAGATGAGAACGAAATGGAAGGTGGAATGTATGATTTCCCCAATTTCACCGGTAAAGTTCTTTTTAGTTTAACCTTTCAGTTTTTTTTTACTTTTTTTTTTGTAACTTTTTGCTAGTAATGTTTATCAATTTTTTTAACAAACATGATTATAACCAACAATTTATTTGAATCTAAACCAACTTCTTATAAAAACCAACAAACAATTTTTCTAATCTAAACCAACAAACATCTTAAATAAAAACCAATTCTTAGGTACGATGTTTTAGCTACAAAACCAATTCATGTACCATCAATGCTAATCACCGGTCAACAATGTGCAAACCCATTGATAGAAGGAGAAGAAGCCCAATAAAAACAGGTCTAAATTCCATGGGTTCCACATCGGTTGATCTCGAAACACACCACTCGACTATAGTCCCCGGATTCAAATTTTGAAGTGCATGTAGAAATTTGGTAAAGCTAAATAAGATTCTTCCCAATTGCAAAACACCTGTTTAATTTCTTCCTGTTTTTCGATCCAAGTCTTTGTATCATTTTCATTGTTACTCATCATTTCAATGCTCACAACAGCAACTTGAGAGACTGTATAGAGATCTTCATTATAAACAATGTCTGATATGACATTAGCATCCATCTACCAAAAACAACATCAAAAAGTCAACAACAGTAAACAACATCTACCATCAATTATAATGATAAACTCACTCTCAAAATCAGATACAAGAAAACATCATTTATTTAACTTTAGCAAAATGCTACATCAAAATTCAAACTCTGAAATCCCTCTATTTAAGCGGCAACCCAGTATGTTCAATTCAAAATTTTAAACATAAGCTTGTTCAACAAAAAATTCGACATTACCTAACAAACACACAAGAAAGTTCACAATTGAAACTTAATAAAATTGAAGTTGTGAGATGGAGAAATCGAAGTTAAACAAAGCATAATCGAAGTTGAATGTATAGAAATCGAAGCTGTAAGATGGAGTAAAAAACTCATACATGAGATCAAATCGTCGATGATTAATCATCAATCGATGAAGTAAATGCCTCAAACAGGTTCTTTGATTAGTCATACACGAGGTGTTAGTAAGAAACTGAAACATGTATATTTTATTACACGCCAAGTACTTCAAAAAATAATCAAAACTTAAATGCAATGGCTCAACAGTTGGTTCACTCACAAATACAACAACATTTTAATAAACAATGATGTCTAATAAAACAAACTACCAACCAATACCACCGGTTCAATTCCAATTTGATCCTTCACCAGGGCCAATCCAATGGTATCCAATGACCTGGGCGAAAAAATATAATAATGCCCATTTTTATAGTGTTGATCAAATTTAAACCTTTACAAGAAAAATAATTTAAAAAGCAAAAATGCAACACAACCTTTTATCCATGCCTTACCGCATTTTTGACATTGGCTAAAAATAACGTTTAATACTAAAAATTGTCAAACCCTTCTATCTCTTTCAAATCGTTGTACATCATAGATATGACTGACTTTGAAACACTTATTACATGCTACAATAACAAACACAATCAACAAAATCTTATATATATATATATATATATATATATATATATATATATATATATATATATATATATATACAAAATTGCAAACTCCATTGTCCAAATACTATAACTCTTCTTTACAAATAAATCATAAACACTATTCCGTATGAGTGACCTTTTAAAAATGAAAAACGTAGATATTGAAAAGTAAAAAAAAAATTAGTAATACTAAAATGAGTTAACCAAAAAGAGAGTAAAAACCAATTAGGAATCAAAAACAGCGACACAAAACTGGAATTATAATACAACTAAAAATTGATATTTACAAATTACGAATGGAAGATTGTGTAATTTTTATTGCAGAAAACCAAACTGGGGCAGTTAGATTACTATTTAGAGATGAATTTTATAGTTGAGAAAAAAGGGAACCCCGAGCAAATAGTCATAGAATCAAAAATAAGAATTCGTCTACTTCTCCTGGCTGCTACCTCCGGATATACAAACTAATCAGTTGAGAACAATAGAAATCGTAGAAATAGAACATAAAATTTCAGAAAAGAACTTTAGAAATTTATACATAAAACCACAAAATTATACATGAAACAAACCACAATATCATGCCTCATTTAACTTCTGATTTTTGACTAAAATAGGAGAATCGGAACAATGAACTATCAAAAGCCAGCACAGATTCAAGGAATCGGAAATCGGAACTGTAAACGGTGAACTCCTGATTTTTGAAATCAAAACAAAAATATGAGAATAGTGATAAAATCGGGAATCAGAAATAGGATAATAGAACAAATAAATGTCTGCTTAACTAAACGCTTCGAGCAGACGTACCCAAAGTCTCCAGCTTTGAACAATCAAACTCCAAACTGAATCAGAATAGTGATAAAAAAAAATAGAAATCAGAAATACGAGATTAACGATCTTGATTCGAACTCCAATTCATACAAATCGCCAAATCTGGAATCAAGAGAACAGAATAAATAGAAGATAGATTTGGAAAGCTCGATCTTCTACAGAGTGAGTTTTTCTAGGCGTCGATTACATCTCTCAAGGTGTTGGTAGCTTCAATTATTTAAATTTTTGGCGCCCATTACGCCTTGCCTCCAACTGTTCGATGTATGTGTAATATGTCAAATACTCACAGAAATCAGTAACCTTCATATGGAATAAATTATTCGGGCCAACTATATATAGTATCACTTATTGGATTAAAATGATGCCCTGGGCCTAGCCCATTTCGCCCATGTATTGGGCCGGGCCTGTCCCTCACTACAATAAGTTCCAAACAATCGGGCTAATAAAGAAGATGATGAAAGTGATGATCTACAAAGTTCTGACGAAGACGATTAAATTAGGTAGTATGGTTAAATTGTATGAAAGTTTAAAACAATTTCCTAAGATATTCTAACTGACTTGGTAAACCACTTGTATAAAATTTGTATTAGAACTAAACTGAGTTTGTATAATATTTTAAAGTTTTTTGTTATTAGTTTTACTACTTTAGAATGCGTTTGAAAAACCAGGTAAAATAAACAAAAAAGAGGATCAAAAAAATACATTTGTACAATGACTATAGTGACGACAAGATGTGACGACATGTTGTGGTTGTTGGTTGACCTCCAAGCATGACATGTCATCGCCATATGTCAACCACGACATGTCGTCACCGAAGGTCAACATATAGCCATAACATGTCGTCACTATAGTTGAATCTTTAGCAACATGTCGTCGATACATATCTATTTTTTTATTTCTTAAAAAGATATAGCGACAAAACTATCACGGTGATATGCCGTCTTTACATATGACTATGACATGTATGTCGACGACAAAAGATGTCATGGCCATGAAGTTATGATGACGTGTATATGAACGATATGTGTCGTCCCCATAGCCCTCGCTTCTTGAAGTGATATGATAAAAAGAATTAAACCATGAGTGGTTCTTAGTGGGTTCATGTTTTCCGAATGGTTGCAAAACAAATATGGGTTAATAAGTAGGTGAGGGGTTGTAAGTGGTGGTGACTAGTATGCTTACTCAATATAAGAAGCAACTACATGGGTTTGTGTGTATGGTTAAGTTTAGCGAGCACGCACACACGCATACAAACATACGTACCTCCCACAACTGCTAAAGAAAGGTGTTGACCGGCAACATCTACAATACCATAAAGAGGATAGATATGTACAGTGGAAAATCATATGCTAATTCTAACACCTTGTTCTTGAGTGTAAAATTTACGGAGGGAGAGGGGAAGGGAGATGTAGAGGGGAAAGAAAGGGAGGGATATAAAAGGAGAAAAAAATCACATACATTCTCGAATTGTTGGGGAAGGGAAGGAGTTTCACTTTCAAATGACATTTCTACCCTGGTTAAGGTTTATCGGCTTCATGGTGTAACAGAGAAAAGGGTAACGATAAGAAGCGTCTTTTTTCCTTCTCAATCCTTTAGTGTGTTCCTTTTTCCATCACTCGAGAACGGTGGACTACCTTTTGGCTCTCTCTTTATTTTTCCTAGTGTTCATATCCATGGGTCCTTTATGTTACTTCCTCATATCTGTTTGTTTGTAGAATTTCAACCGAGTACAAACCATTTGCTCAACATTATAGAATATATGCATAACTAATGTGAAGTTGACTCGCAAATCGACATTCTTTTTATTTCTAGTGTATACTCCTTAATAATTATTCAAATGCGTATAGTGAATACTCAAACAAAAGAACAAAAAAAAATGAAAGGGTCGAGTATTTCAAAAAGTAATAACATTGTGTCTTTCTTCTTTTGTCCACATATGCTTGTCATAGTTGTAAGAAGATAAGAATCCACAAAGGATTCCAATTCTTACCACAAAGACAAGCAGATGTGGCTAAAAACATAAAAAGATAAAGCTATTGCTCTTTATAAGACCCGACCTCCTTATCTTTTGGATGCTTAGTATACAATACATTCACATCTACATATGAAGAAGTAAC